CACCTCGAGCTCGCCGAGGCTTTCCCGTGAGGCCCTGTGTGGGTCATTGGGGCCCCCGTCGAAAGGGGTGAAGGCCGAACACCCCACGAGGTAAACTCCGTGTGAGCAACAGCCCGCCCGTGTCCTCTGTTCCGCGCGCCTCGGTTTCCCCGACTTGGAAATCCACCTGTCTGCGCCACGTCAGTCGTGCGAGCCACGCGCTGTCTGTCTGCGGGTGTGTACAGAAGCCGTTTCACGCGGCTTAAGCACTGAGACCGGGAGGCGGGAGGGGGACTCGAGGGGCGGTGACACTCAGGCTCCTCTCAGGGTGTCTGGCCAGCCCGTAGAGACCTGCCATAGGTTTGGTTGCCCCCACATCTGTTCCCTTCACCCTGCAGTCTTGAGATGTCTCTGCTTCTCCCCTTGGCCAGGCCTTTGTCTGTCTCCCCGGGGTCTTTAGGCCCCTCCACCCGCACGCTTCCTCCAGCCCTGCCGTCCTGGCGAGCTCAGATGATGGAGGGACCCGTGCGTCCTGGAACAGAAAGCAGCCCCGCGGTCTCTACCCCTGGGCTGCCTGGTATTTTACAGCCCGACTCTGCGGGAGCTCCTCGAATCACAATTACAATATTCAGGCAGCATTGTTGATCCCTGTGGCTTGCCTAGCGCTCCACTAATTACTGTAGATGGGGACAGAAGTCATCTCAGCATTCGGGGAGCTCGGAGTCTAGTGGAGGGGGGGGCATGAAGGGAGGTCAACAGTCACAGCGTGTGTGGCGAGGGAAGGACGCACTGGGCTGTGCCTAGACACTGGAGCGGGGACCCTGGAGAGGGGATGCTGGGGACGGTTTCTCCAGGGAAGATGACACCTGAGCCAAGTCCTAAAGCGCAGGCAGGTGTGGCCGTTTGAATGTGGGCTGATGAGGTACATGGGGACGTGTGTTTCAGGGAGCGTGAGCAGAGGCTTGAAGACCTGGTCTCTTAAGGGGCAGCCAACTTCCAGAATTTGGCTTCCCATTGGTTTATCACTAAGGCATTCCCAAGGAAGGTGCCTCCAAGAAGAGACATGCTGCAGCCACATTTAAGAAGCACTTAACAGAAAAGATGGGCATCGCCCGGCCGGTGTGACTCAATGGTTGGGCACCTACCCATGAACCAAGAGGTCCCCAGCTTGATTCTTGGTCAGCTCACATGCCTGGGTTGTGGGCTCGATCCCCAGTAGGGGCCGTGCAGGAGACAGCCGATTGGTATTTCTCTCATTGATGTTTCTGTCTCCTTAACCCTCTCCCTTCCTCTCTCTCTAAAATCAATAAAAACATATATATATTATTATATACACACACACACATATACACACATATATACGTATAAGAAAAGATGGGCGTAAAATGGGGTGTGATGCGGGGAATGGGAGTGCACTGTGGCCTCCGGTGAATGCAGTGTTGACATCAAGTGCAAACATCTTCACGCTGCGCAAGGGAGCTTGTTATTCGGGACTGAGTTTACTGTGATCGCATGAAGCTTACTGCAGTGACAACGCGGGGATTTATTATCATTTAACCAGAGTCGTCGACTACTGAAGAATGAGGCCCAGGACTTCATGCAGATATCTGAGGAATTAAATTGAGATCCCCATGAAGCAAGTCATAGAAAGTACGAAGGCCCCGAGTCATTTAAAATCGGGAGGGTGAATTCCTAGGTCTTGCGTGAGGCCTGCCAGCGCCGAAGCGGGAGAAAGAGAAGCTGGAGAGGCAGGTGGGGGAGACTCGGCCCTTGGCTAAGGCTGCGATGAAGCTGGCCCGTGGCGCCCCCTGAGATGGCGCCCTCCGTGGTTGACGGTGTGCTTCCCATCCCCCTCGCCTCTTCTGATATCCGTGGGGAAAGCGGCAGAATGGTAGGGACGAGCGAGCCCCCATTAACCCGAGATGCTCGCGTGTAGCTTGACCCCTCCTGGTCCACTGCGCCCCATCACCCCATCAGTTCATTCATTTCCTTCCTGACCAAGCCAGGAAGACAAGGCAGCCGAAGACAAGGCTACAGCATAGGAATTTAAGGGGCCAAATGACTGAAATGGCAGAAGAAAGACTGGCTCTTTGGACTTCTCACCTATAGTGCTCTTTGCTACCACACTACAGTGTGTCTCTTTTTTAGGATTTTCTTTTAAATGCTTAAAATCTCAGCAATTATTCCTCCTTTGGCAATCAATCTGTGTAGCTGCCCCGCCCATGGTGTGGGCCCAGCCTGGCGTGGTGGGGATAGAGCTCCAGAGTGGAAGTGGGTCACACTTTGGCTTCCTAGCTGACCTGTTGTTGAGTATTGAAATTGCGACGCCCCGCAATCTTTCTGCGTTTCATTTTCTGTTTTCCCTTGGTCTGTGTATGCCTTGGAGCTGAATGTGATGGAGTCACCTAACTACCTGTTCTCACTGCAGGATCACACTTGGTGCAGTTTTCTAGGCCAGCCAGATGGTCTACCCTGACTACGCGTCGTGGTTTCATTAGTTTTGTGGGTCTCAGGATTGTGTTTACGCGATTTCCTGTGTAATTATATTCCAACTTTGTATAGCAACTTAAGACCTGGTAGATTATAGATATATTAAATGTAAGTTGTGCAAGCAGTAGTAGCATACATTTAAAAAAAATATTTGCATTGATTTTTAGAGATGGCGGGGGGAAGAGAGAGAGAGAAACGTTGATGAGACAGAAAAACATTGATCGGCTGCCTCCTGCACACCCCCTACCTGGGATTGAGGCTGCAACCTGGGCATGTGCTCTGACCAGGAATCAAACAGACAGCTTTTCAGTGCATGGGACAATGCCCAACCAGTTGAGCCACACTGGCCAGGGTAGTGCTAGCTGGCATTTATTGAGCACTTGCTAAGTGCTGGGCACTTGCATCTGTCTCATCAAGCCTTACAGTGACCCTGTGAGGTCAGGCCAGTGGGGCAGAGTTGGGCTATAAAAGGTCTCTCTTTGTGCAGCGCGGTTAATTCTGCCAGTTGAAATTTGTGATTCCTCCTGAAACAAAGTTGGTCGTTCGTTAGCATCTAAGCTGCTGCTTTCACAGCGGATGTGGATCTTGCTCAAATAGTGAGCACAGACTAAGAGCTCCCTGCAGAGAACCTTCCGCAGAGGCCCAAGGATTATTCACTTCTCTCGAGGACAAACAGCAATTCACTGTGACGTGCCTTATTTCAGTTACATTAAATGTAAGGAGGCCTGACAACTGTAGAAGTTCAAATACTCATCAACTTCAGCTTTTTAATTCAGCTTCTGTGACACGTGCGTCCTTCCTTTGAAATCTGGAAGGGGAAATAGGTAATTACGAATGAAGTGAAGGTGAGATTTTATTTCTATAGCTATAAATTTTCTTTTACAGTAAGATCCAGAAGCATATAATTTGTTATTAAAGGTATAACGTCTAACCACTTTATATGGATTTTGCACTAGTTTTAACCAAATTAAAGTAATAAGGCTTGTCTTTTTTTGAAATCCACCCAAGATTCCCAGTAGACTTCCTTTTTCTATCTCATTTATTCATTCTAAAATACTGAATACGTTTTGTGCCCTGCACTGGGATTATACACTGAAACCTGTTAATTGCTGGTGTGTTGGCAACATCTCAGGTTATCACAAGGAGTAAAATCTTCTTAATTAAGCCCAGTTACCTGAAATTCCTTGCCTCCGAACAACACACACTTGGCCTGAGCAGTGTTGGGAGAGATGGAAACCAGGTAGCAGGTGCACGTTGTGGTAGGTAAATACCGAGATGGCTAGGATGATGACATCATCTGTGGTGCTTTAGACCCAAAAAAGAAGCAATAGAAGCAATTTGCCATTTTTCATGGGAGATCTAGAATGTGTTAGGTTAGCCTCCAGCCTCGAGGGAAAGATTAATTTGGGCTCCTGGTGCTTGCTACTTAGAAAGGAGCTTAATATAATCAGAAGAAAGTGATCTGAAGATCAGCTCGTCAGAGCTAATGTCTCGGCTGCGCTCCGTAGATGGGCCTCAGAGGCTGCCTTGCGGTGGGGATTGGCGGCAGGGGGGCTAATGGGTGAAGACCTGCTTTCCACACTGCATCCCTCTTGAATTTTATGTTTGAAAAAAGGGTACTGTGGCTAAAAGAAGTTTTGAAAAAAATGTGGATTTGGCCAGTTCACACATTTTACCAGTGAACAAAATGAGGCTCAGACCAGTTCCAGGAAAAGCAAATAGCTGTATAAGAAAGTGAATATAATTGTGGTTTTCTGACTGCCTGGCCCAGCAAGGAACAGTTTTACGTGGTCATTTTGTCAGTATGATATACCTACGAGCTGTGACAGCTGTCCTGGGAAGGATGATGGAGGTTGTGGGGTTGTGGGCGGGTTAGGTCTTCATGTGCCCCAAGAAGAAGTGAGTAGATAATATCTAACATTGATTAATCAAGAAGAAGTTGCATGGCCAACATAATATTTTAAAGTACAGAGGGAAGAAAAAATGCCTAGAAGTAGAAAAGAAAATGCTGAAAAAATGGAAACTGATTCCTGTTGAGAACAGGTCTCAGGGCACTGAAGGGATGTAAGGATGGCTGTTCCCTGTGAATGTATTAATTTTTTTAATAAATAAAATGTTTTTATAAGGGATATCATGCATCTGCGTTCCATGTATGCCTCCTCCCTGCCCTTGGTAAATGACAGCTCATGCTTGTTGAGGAGACCGTTCGCCGGAGGAGAAAAATAAGAATTCTAAAGGTGAACTTTCTCACTCCGTGACCTAAGGACTGAGGCCTGAGTCAAGTTCACGGCAGGGTGTCTCCCGAGAAGTCGTTTGGGCCTTTGGCTATTCATTTGGTGTTCTCCCTAAATTATTTTAGGGACGGAAGCTGCCTCCAGGAAGCAAGTGGAAGCAGGTGTGTGCGGAGATTTGGAACCAGCCTGCCCTTGGAGACAGTTTCTCTGACAGTCCCTGTTTGTCTTGTAGTCATATCAATTCTAGGTAAGCTCTGGTCCCTAACTTCTCTTTTTGACGTTTCTTTTTTAAAACAGGGAAATAAACATAAAATCATGGAGAAGTGTACGTTGCCCTTAACCGGGAAGCAGTGTGTCAACCGCATCATCACTGAAAAGGTAAAATGTCTTTCTCTCTTTCTGTTCCCTCTAATGTTTGCCACTGACTTTTATTTATAAGCATTTTTATCATTTTCTTGTTACCTTCTGAGAGTGTTTTACATTGATAGTCACAGGATTAGTTTAATAGTATAATCTGTGGGCAAACTGAATAGGAAAATCCATCAATTTTATGTTTCAAAATGTAGAATTCTTAATGTGCAACTCTCTGGAAATGTCCATAGGCACGTAGAATTCAACTACTGTCCTTGGTAATTCTGACTGTGATATAGCCAAAGAAAAGTTTTATGGATCATTACGGTTGGACTTTTAAGATGGATGATATATACAAAGTTAAGAATATATTTATTATTTCTACCTTTTTTCTTTGCTTTCGCAAATCATATGTACAGATTGTCGGGTTTTATTCTAGGAAACTCAGAAAAAATTAGGTTTTGGTCATTTGAGTGCACATTACAGACCCCACAGTGAGCCCAGGAGTCTCGTCTGTGGCCCTGCACGTCTCCGGCAGGTCTCAGGGTGCTGAGGGGACGTAAGGCCGGCTGTTCTCTTCCGTGGAGTGCGCCTCGGAGCCCACCAGCCGTTCAGGGCCTCCTAGGTCCATTTCTTCTTAGGGCCTGGGCCAGTGGTGCAGCTGGAAGCTGCTGGATCGGAGAGCAGCCTCCTGCACAGTTGTCTGCCCCCCTCTTTCTGACCCAGAGTTGAACCTAGGGCGTGGGAAAGGCGTCGTTCTCACAAGTGAGCGAGGAGGGTGTCATCTCGAGTCTGTGTCTTGATGAAACCGCCTTCTCTGAACCAGATGGTTCCCAACCTTGGCTACAGAAAGGCGGAGGGTGGTCTCTGCCCCCAGGAGCACACCCGGGAAGGGTGGACACCGAGCATCCAGCAGCAGTGAGAGTAATAAACACGATTAGGGCACGAGAGATGCAGGCAGACGGGGCGGGGCGTGGAGGAAGGCTGCCTAACAGCCTGCGGAAGGGGTCAGGGAAGGCTTCTAGGTGGTATCACATGGAAGCTTTTGGTGTGGTTTGCAAGGCCTTTTACAGTTTGTACCTTTCCCCCTCCAGTTTCAGTTTCTCGCTTTCTGCCTTAACATCCCCCCTTCGGCCGTGTAAATGGTGTGAGCTGTCGCATCCCCCACCATGTTCTTCTGGCACCTGGCACACCCTGTCTCTCCTTGCAATGCTCTCTCCACCCCATCCATCTGGTTCTTTGCTGCTCATCTTTAAATCTCAACTATATATTTCTTTCTCTGGCAAGTCTTCCCTGTCCCTCCCCAAGCCTTCTGGATGCTTCTCCGAATCCCAGTACTTCGTCTAACTCAGCACTGACCACTGTATTGAAATGAGAAAGTAATTTAACAGAACTTAGTTGATAAATCATGCATACAGTTCATGCATTTCTTCGTTGGATGCTATGTGCTTGGCTGGTACCTATCGGCACATAACAAATTTCCCTAAAAACAATTCTGCTGCATAATTAATTGTTCACGTATAACTGCTTCTGGTACCGTAGGAAGGTCTTTGTCTATTAACCTTTTCTGAATTTCTCGGGAGAAAAAAGGTCTGCCGGCAATACCTTACACAAAGAGCTCATTTCTAAGCTCTGTTAATTCAACACCCGGCGTGGTGCTTGCCCGACATGGCCACTGCTTGTCGGATGACTGGCACCGCCCTCGCCTTATGCTACCAGCCAGATGTGGTCACGCAATGTCCGGGTGAGGTTGGCCTTCCCTGGCCCTGAGCATCAGCATCTTCATTTGCTTTGCATTCTGCAGGGAGATTCTCATGCTACCTTGGACCTTTTTGTTTTTACAGGGCTCACAGGGAAAGTTTTAATATTTACCTGGGGGACGGGGAGCTTTTGGGGTCAGGACAGACCTTTGCTTGAATTACCCTCAGCCACGTCAAGCACCATCTTTTCTTTCCCGTAACTCTCCCCAGAAGCATCGATCGGCTTCCCCGCATCATCCCTGTGCTTCCACCTTTCAGCTTATCTTCATCTGTCCTTTCTTCAAATCATTATTGATCATCGAACTGAAATTTTGACCACAGCTGTTAGACCTAACCAAAGTAAAGTAATTTCAAAAAACTGGTTATAATAGTAGCAAATGCCATCGATGGTTCACACTCCTTTGTTTTCTGGCGTGGACGGTGCTCCACTGCTAATTGCCAATTACGCAGTTGGCATTCTTGCCAAAATGTAAGTTATGGTTGACATTTTGTCCTGGCTGATTTTCAGAGTCCCTCGTCCTGGGTCTTGTCTCTCCTTTAAGAACTTGAGAGCTTGTTTCTGTTTTGTGCTATAAAATAATGACTGTGATAGCCATTGTCATTGTCATGTCCTTGGCTCCCACAGGCTGTGTTTGACGTGGACAGCAAGAAAGGGCTGACTCTGATCGAACTCTGGGAAGGCCTGACCGTGGATGACATCAAAAACAGCACCGGCTGTGATTTCTCAGTAAGTGTTTCTGTGAACAGATCCAGCCACTTACCCTGTATCACCAGCTGATAAATGGGTGTTTGCAGCACATGAACCATTAATTTGTGATCCTTTTTGGAGTTGACCTTTGCAGAGAACAGGAGTGGGGGAAGGGAGACTCCAGAGGAGAGCAGGTGGGTACAGGAACAGGCTCTGACTCATGGTCCAGGGTTTGGCTCAGGAGTCAGCAGCAGGGAGGGGAGGACCCACCAGGAGCTGCTGGAAACAGAAGGTCGGGCAAGCTCGAGCTCTGAGCTGCTCTCTGTAAAGTCCCCCGCAGTCCTCCGTTCTTGGGGTACATGTCAGCCATAGTTAAACTTGATTAACTGAAAAATGCGAGGTGCACACAGAGAATGATACTTTCTTATTTTTAAACCCTTTCTCATTTTCAAATCTGTGGCTTATGAATTTCTCTTTGATTAGCTTCTATGCCCAATTATGCCATCTGTTGAAGTTATTAGAATGTTGGGCTTCTGACACCAGATTGTAGTCACAAAATAGGTGTAGCCTGCATTTGATGAAAAGCTTAGGGCATAAAACTGACTTACAAAGTAGATGAGTGCATCAGGGAGTATCCGTTTAGGAAATCTCCAAGTCCCTTTTTGAAACAAAGAGAATAATAGTGTAATAGAAATAATTCCCTTTTAATATAAGTGCTTATTTATAAATCACAGGGTCCCGTACCTAATGGGGGTTGAGAGGATGGCTCAGGCCTTTTGAAGTTCATAAAAGTAAAACTGAAATGGCTCTGAACAAAAATGAAGGAAAGAATTTGCTTCTCACATCCCTTTTTGAGATCAGATCTACTAGTTAAAATGAAATATATTTATAATGAGGGGAAACGTCACAGCTGCGCATCCTGGAGAAAGTAATTTAACAAAACTTAGTTGATAAATCATGCATACAGTTCATGCATTTCTTCGTTGAATGCTACATGCTTGGCTGGTACCTATCGGCACATAACAAATTTCCCTAAAAACAATTCTGCCACATAATTAATTATTCACATATAACTGCTTCTGGTACTGTAGGAAGGTCTTTGTCTATTAACCTTTTCTGAATTTCTCTCGGGAGAAAAAAGGTCTGCTGGCAATACCTTACACAAAAAGCACGTTTAATTACTTTTCAGTAGCCTCGGGATGAAAATGGGATTTGTCTATACTTTAACTCTCTAGAATTCCTCACTCCACTGATAAAAGCAAACAATTCTTACTTAATCAGCTTTTCTTCATTTTTTTCCCTTCTGTGGATGAGTCTTCAGTAGGTAGCGTATTTGAGATCCACACAATGTTCAATTCTCTGCTCAGGAGTCAGCAGCAGGGAGGGGAGGAGTCTCTGCTCCTAAAGAGAATATACAAAGGAAGAGCCTCATTGTGATCTGCTTTATTTTTAGTCATGTCCAAAAACAGGAATGAAAAGGGTGGATTTTTACTTTTTTGCTTTGTGTTTTTTTTTTTTTTTTTAAGTGCCAGTTTCCATATCTTCAGACATTGAGAAATATCTCGGGGCTTCCTCTGTTATTACAGTGTCGCCCTCCTTCTCTTTCGACATTGACATGTGATGTGGTTTCCTCCAGGTTAGGCCTCTGAGTTGAAATGCTGATTTGTATGTCAGCATTGTCCTGAAAGTGAAAAGGTGTAATGTCGCCGAACCACCTGGACAAAAGCACTAGCTTCTGAAGGTCTGGTGATGAATGGCCTGGCTTTAGACTTGGCAGACGAGATCACATGTAGCGGGTACCTGCCTGTAAGATGAGGGACCGGAGCGCTCTGATTAATAGAGCATTCTGCTCAACAGCTGGGCTATCAACAAGGTACATTTAATAATAACAGTACTCAGAGCATAACGTTCCTTTGTCTCAACATTCAGAAGGCATTCTGTGTTGTAATCCACGAGCTACTCCATGTGCTCATGACAGCACATGTAGCATTTTCCTCGATACATGATTGTATGCAGGTTACTCAAGGTTCCTGCTTGAGAAGGAGCCCACTCAGCCTTCACTGTAGAACTGAAAGCAAATATCCTAGAAGGGAGTAGCCAGGTTGTTGTGTAATAAAGAAGGGTAAAAACCCAGGTCAAAGTAATTGTGAAAATGTGTTGGTGAAAGTCCCTTACGCCTAAGAATATGGGCAAGTGAATGGCCAGGTATACAGAACATGGCTATAAGCTGATTGAGAAAATACTGAGAATTTCAAAGAAAAAGATAAAATATGACAGCATCAGATAACAGGCATGACAAAATTGTAGTTTCTGGGTATCAAAAAGTCATTATAATGAAATGATTAATAAAAAAGGAATTACTAAGGCTTTGTGTAGACCACAGTGCAGTTAGCAGCACCAGAAAATGTGGAAGGAAATCATGTTCTTTCCATGTTACCTGAAACAGCTTCTTAAAAAATTTGTTAAAGAGCAAAAAAAAAAAAAAAAAAAA